GCTCGGTGACGGGTGCCAGGGAACCGTCCCCGCTCTCATCCTCTCCATTAATCACCAGCTACTGGGGCGCCAGGCCCCTGTTTAAGAGGCACCAGTGGTTCCGAGGTGAACGGGGCTCCCAACCTCGGCCGTTAATCTGCTCCCTGTGAGACAGGCTACCTCGGCCGTTAATCACTCGCTGTAATTACAGCCCCAACTTTGCACAGGGAATGTTAATTGATGTGTCGGATGGAAGGGCTGTGCATGCACACGTTTTTCTCCCGTGGCCCCCAAATGCCAAGGTCATGGGATTTGGCGGGGCTGATGGTGCATAGAAATGAGCATGTCATCCGAGGGTGGGGTGGCCCGCTGCCAGCAATGGCAGCGAACCTCGCACTCCCTCCTTCCCACGTGTCCTGCATGCTTGCCAGGCGGGGCGGTGGGTGCAGGGTGGGCCACTGTGGAGAGTGAGGGCTGGGCTTGGCGGCCTCTCCCGGGTTAGAGCTAAGCCCCCCGGGGGCCGGAAGGGAAGACCCCCCGCCTGCCAGGCATGGCCGTGGTCATCCTGCCTGCGGGACGGGCTTGAGGGCTTTTCCGTGCTACCTCTGTTCATATCAGGTGCTTCTGCTGCTGTGTCCCCTGCTGGAAATTTGCCTGGGTGACCGGCAGGGCCGACTTCGAGCCATTCCCGAGCTGTGTGAGGCTATTCGCACCACCACGTGGGGACCAGAGGTAATTTTATGGACGCCCCTTCCACTTACTCCTGTAGTAAAGTTTGGTTTTCTTCAATTGTAAAGGTAACGCATGCTCATTAGAAATTATCTTGCAGTGCCTCCTTTTCTAGGCTTTCAAGCCCAACAGGAGGACTGGAAGGGATTTTGCTGGTTACCTAGTGCAGTGCCATGCTTACAACTGGGGAAACTGAGGCTCAGGGCCAGAGAGGTCAGCTCAGTGGAAGCCCAGGCTGGGACCTGGCCTCCTGCTGCTGACCAGGACCCTCCCCACACTGCCTGGAGCTCGGAAAGGAAGGGGCTGGTCCTGGGCTCTTGCTGATGGTGTCGTGGGGACAAGGCCCTGTTGATGCCCATCCTGCCTCGGGGACCGTCAGTGTGAAGGGAGCCAGCAGGGAGTTGGGGCAGGGAACCGGGGTCACAGGGAACAGGAACATCCTCAGAACCTGAAGCTCGGCCCTTGATTCCACCGAGGGCTGCAGGCCACTCCCCAGGGCTGGGGGTGGGGGCGTAGCTTCTTTAATTGCTCAGGCAGCAGCATGACAGCCAGTGACAGCCCAGACCTGAAGTCACAGGCTCAGCCCTTCGCTGCAGGCCTCCCGTGATGACGTGGCTGCTGGAGAAGCCTGCAGACTTCAGATCCTCTGCACCCCGAGCCCTGGGGAGGGGTATCCGTGCCTCGGCTGGGCAGCAGCGGGAACGGTCATCAGAGGGAATGGTCACCGTGCATCTTCACCCTCCCTTGCTGATCCATTGCTCCTCAGTGACCCAATGCTTTGTCCTGCCAAGACGTGCTGAGCCCCTGTCCCCAGCTTTGCAGCTTGTGACAGACAGGACGGGGAGAGGGACAGGGTCCATCTCAGTGCCTCTGTCCTCACTGCCCTCGACATGGCCCCTTTTCACCATGCGGGGCTCAGGCCGTCAGCTGCTGGCTGAGACGCTCTGTGGGCTGAGGCGGTGCTGCTGATACGTGGGGCTGACTGGCTTCCCGCTTGAGGCGTTTGACACTTGGAACCCAAGGATGGCCCGGACATGGAGGTCACCCGGGCCAGTTTCCTGCCCAGCGGGCACCTGCTTCCCAGCTCCCCTGACAGATGGCCACACAGCAGCTCCTCGACCATCCCTGTGATTCATGATTTAGTGATACAGGAGCCAGGGACAGCTGAGAGTCCTGTGTCTTCTCCATGTCTGCAGAAGGGTCCTACAGTTCCACCTGCCGGGTGGGCGGGAAACTGGCACCCTCAGGCCCCACCCGCCACTCCCATCCCTCCCGCATGTCCTTCCTGCCTCAAGTGGCTCCGCTGGAAGGCAGCGTAGGCTACGGTTGTGGGTGTCGCTGCTTTTGCCGCCCAGGCTCTGCAGGGAATAAGTTCCCTTATTCCCATCTGGGCGTCTGTTCTTCCTCACATACCTGTTTCCCCTTGGTTATCTCCGCCCGTAGCCTGGGGACTTGAGAAAGCCTGCGGTAAGCGTTTGTGTATTTGGCTTGGCTGAGAGTGGGGGAGGGGGAGCGCTCAGGACTGCGTCCGCCTCGGCCTCTCAGCAGTGGTGCAGCCTTGGCCAAGTGGTGCTCTGGGCCTCGGCTTCCTCAGCCATGAAATGGGGGCCAGGCAGCACCTCCCTTGGTTCATGGATTTGCTGAAACATGCTGGGAAAGCACCCAGCACCTTTCCGAGCACTTAGGGAACACTTAACAGACAGCAACGATACGGATCAATGTCACTGTCAGAAGGCTCGATGTCGATCCCTGAGGTCGTCCGGGGGACACAGCGCTGCCCCGTGGTTACCTCCCCAGATGCCCCCAGGGATGCCCACCTCTGCTCCTGTCGGGTTCTGAGCAGGGTGGTGGCGCCCCTGGTGTTCTGACAGTGGCTGTGTCTCAGTTCGGATGCTCTCAGACAGACCCTGGGATAAGTCTTCAAGGGCAAGCAGTGTTGGGGATGGAGGGGAGTGGGGCAGTGGGACAGGGAGAGGGGTGGCCCATGGCTGCTTACCCCGTGGGGACTCTGGGAGCCAGTGTGAACCTTCTCCCCAGGGCTCTCTCACCAAGGGCGAGGCTGCTCCAGGGCGGTGATGTCCAGGCACTCCTGACTGTCAGGTCCTGGCAGACGGAAGAGTGAGCCCCCAGGCAGGTGCACAGCTGTGCCCTTTCCAAAACACATCTGGATCTTAGCCTGCGGTGTGGGTGGGACACCGTCTTCTGATCTCAGACCCAGGAGTAATGGCTGATCGTAATATCTGCTCTTGTATTTGTCAGCGTTCTCTTCCTCTCTGACTAGCCAATTTCCGTGTCCCTCGATTCTCTGTAATAGTTAATAATTCTGTATATTAAGCATCCCCTGTGATTTTGACACAAAGCTAATGTGTGGTTTTGGCTCCTGATTGGACTCTGATGGATGAAGAATTGGTACTGGGAGTGGTCCCAGGAAATGGACGTTTGGGAATGGGCTGGTGTGGGCAGGTGTGCAGACATATTAGGGCTCAGGAGATGTTGGGGCCTGGACAGTGTCTTCTGCAGACCGTCGCCTGCAGCAGTGACGGTGGCCGTGCTGCCGGCCGGCAACACAGAGCACTTTGGTGATTCCAAGCCCGATACTCCTGGTAGGACAGCTTTGGGGTGGCTGTCCCTGCAAATCCACAAGACTTGTTCCGCCCAGGCCTTAGGTGCCCGAGCTATGGGGACGCTGGGCAGCTGCCCATCCAGCGCTGCTTCTCTTTGCTGGGCACTGGCCCTCACCAGGCAAAGCTGGCATCTCCCCAGGAATTGTTTCCTCATGGCACGTGGCCAGCTTTGTCAGCAGGGAAGGAGTCTTACCCCGTCCAAGCTAACCTAATCCCCACTGTATGCGCGTTGACATACGTCTTAGGTGCACAGCTGGGGTGGGCTGAAGAACGGCCCCCGGAAGAGCCCCAGGCCTCATCCTGGAACGTGTGAACGTTACTTATGTGGCAGAAAACACTGAGATGTGACTGAGCGAAGGGCCTTGAGATGGGAGACCGCCCTGGGTTACCGGGTAGGTGCAGGTGCAGTCATAGATGTCTTTTACAACGTGTGACATGGCCGGCCAAAGAGGAGCGGTCAGGGGAGGAGGAGGTGCACACTGCAGTGGAGCTGCCATAAGCCAGGGCCACCTGGGGCCACCAGCAGCTGGGAGAAGCAGGCAGCGGGCTGTCCCCTAGGGCCTGTGCTGAGACCTGATCTCAGCCCTGGGAAGCTGCCGGCAGACTCCTGGTCTCCTGTGCGAGAACAGATTTCCATGGGCTTGAGCCACCCATGTTGTGCTCCTTTGTCACAGCGTTGTAACAAAATGCAGCACATTGATAGCACATGAACTGCACTGCACACGAGGGACTTCTGCGGTGGTGACCCCTGCGGTGGTGGCCTCTGTGGTGGTGGCCTCCGTAGTGGCCTCTGTGATGGTGGCCTCTGCGGCAGTGGCCTCGCGGCGGTGGCCTCTGCGATGTTCTGACCGGCGAGGGAGAAGCCTCGGTTTTCACATGTGTGTGTAAATAACTGACCACGGCTCCCTCTCTTCCTCCTCCGCAGTGTTGATTGGGGGACATGTCAAGCTGTAGAAGCTTGAGTGACCTGGCAGTTACACGTGCAGTGACCGCTGCTGGGGCTGATGGGCTCCCTCAGCTCCGGTCCTAGGAGCCCTGTCTGGGGCGGGCGCCGCGGAGCTGAAGGAGGGGGCCTGGCACTCCCACCATCCTTCTCTCTCTCCTTACTCAGGCCACAGAGGCGGGTGTGAGTGAGGGGTGCAGGTGAGCAAAGGGCTGAGCTGAGTCTAACTCTGGGTGAAGGGTTTTGTGTCTCTGTCCTGCTCCGGGAGCCCCCATTGAACCCCATACGTTTCTGGATTTCATAAGGCAAACGCCTGCCTTCAGAGAGCTTGCATCCTGACTGCCGGTGTGAAGAAGTGTGTGGGAGCCAAGCAGGGGACTGTCCTTCCTGCCGGTCAGCTCTTGGGACCCGGCGTCCCTACACCCTCTCACCTGATTTTCCTGGTGGACCACTGCAGACGTAGTGGGTCCCACCACCACAGACATGGAGGAATCCCTGAGCGGCACCATTCAGCATGGCACCCACGACCACCCGTGGCTGCTGGGCCCTGGGCACGTGGCGGGTTTGGACTGATGTGTGCCGTGCGTGTAAACTGTCCATGGGGCCCAGGGACGGACGCAGGACAGAGAATGTGAACTCCCTCACCGATCACTTTTATGTGGATTACAAATGGTATTTTGAATCCATTCTGTTAAGTAAAAACAAATCACAAGAATTACTTTTGCTTCTAATTTTTTAAAAATGTGGCTACTGGAAAATGTACTGTGGTACATGAGGCTCGCATGGTATTTCTGTGGGCAGCCCCAGAGGCTGGCAGTCCCTCTCCCTGGTCTGTGCCAGCTGTAGGCCCAGGGGGACTGGTTTGTTTGCTTTGTCAGAAGGGACTTTCCAAGGAGTCACTGTGGAACGCTAGGAGGGGTTGGCCAGGGCCGTGGTGTCTTTTCTGGAAGGGCTGCCTGGACCCAGGGATGAGGGGCAGGCAGACGGGCGTCTCCCCTCAGGAGCCGTGTTCTGCGATAGGAGCAGAAACCAGTGCGTCTTCGGGATGAGCCAGCCGTGGTGGAGGCAGGACGCGCCAACAGCAAGGGACAGAGAGATGAGATGTGAGCTCTGTGGGCAGAGACCTCGCTGCCCGAGTGGGGGTTGAGTTCCGGGTTAGAAGTGGGAGCCAGGACGTTCACAGAAAGCAGCTTTCTTATTGGGCTACAGGCGAAGGATTGTAACATCACTTTGCTATTTTATAATAGTTACACGTTAAAAAAATGTTTTATTGTGGTAAAAGATACATAACATAAAATTGACCTTTGTAACCATTTTTAAGTGTCCAGTTCAGTGGTAAGTAAGTTCCCGTTGTTGTGCAACTGTCAGGACTATTTCCAGAACACCTTCGTCTTCTTAACCAGAGACTGCCCCCCTGAATCACTGAGGCCCCACTTCCCCTCCCGCAGCCCCTGGCACCACTTCCTGTCTCTGTGGCCCTGCCCCATCTAGGGACCTCACGTAGGTGGGACTGTGCAGCATTTGTCCTTGTGTGTCTGGCTTCTGTCACTGAGCATTATGTCCTCAGGGTCCATCCATGTGGCAGCACGTGGCAGAATACAGCGTAACGTTTCTAAAGCCCTTCCAGGTAGCGTCTGTCACCCCGTTGGTTCTCCTGCACCCGGTAGACAGGTTGCACTGACCCTGGGCTATAGATGAAGACACTGAGGTCGTCACCGAGGCTCCCTGGGATGTGCCCAGTGGTCACATGGCCTGTGACTAGGGGTGATGACTGGGTCCTCTGACCTTTCAGGCTCTGCCCGCTTCACCCTGGCCGAGTGACACTGGCACGTCCATGGCTTCGCCAACACACCCCACCCACCTTTCTCATAGTGACTGTTACATAAATAGAAAATGAAATCAGCTCTGGAAGAAAATCTTGTTGCTTTAAGTATCTCCCTGTTTTCCCTCCCCCCTCTCTTGAGATGAGAATAACTCCAAGTGATGGGACAGGTCACTTTATAAATACTGTATAACCTGAGATGATGGGTCCAATTTGAAGCCTGTTGACAGTGAGGCTTTGAAGGATGGGTTCCAGGCAGGGTGCGTGCGCACGCTCGGAATACAAATCAGTAATTTATGAGGAGAAGGGCACGTTATGCAAATTCAAGGTATTGGCATTGTGTCTGCGGCAGTTAAATGCTAGGATCCCACAGAGGGAGGGGGCTAAGCTGCAGCGAGTCCTCAGCCCCGCAGCGCTCACAGGCTCAAACGCGTGGCTGTCGATGATGACCAGAAGTCAGCAGAGGGGACTCAGAAACAACAGCGGCCTGTCCCCAGTGGGCCTAGCTTCCTGGAGCTGTGGGACATCTCTGTTCTCTGCTAGCCAAGGAATGGCCCCAGTGCTGCAGAGGCCAGAGTGTCTTCTGATGGCAACAGGGGGAAGCGCCCAGGACCGGCCAGCACCAGGTGGAGGTGTGGCGGGGTGGCCTGAGCTCACCCGCTTGACCGGCTCGTCTGTCTTCAGAGCAGCTCACGTGGGCCAGGGTGTGTTCCCACCCAGCCTCATTACTCCTGTGCATTTAGCAGCTCGGAGGAAGTTAATCCCTTGAGGTTTTACCCAGTTTTCGTTTTTCTTGTCATAACCATGGAAGACCGACCTTTGAGCCCTCAGCACGGGGCCTGAATAGGAAGTGATTTACGGCGAGTGGATCGTGTGGCGCCCCAGTGGGCCTGCAGGAAAGGGCTGCAGCACCCCCGTCGCAGTCCTGATCGCCCCTGAGCAGCAGTTGCCACGACAGATTTTCATGCTTCCCCACCAAACGAGAGCCCACTCCTCAGAGATTATGAAAATTGTGTTACCTTGAATTCCAAGTAGACAGACAGACAGACAGATCGCTGCATCGGTGCCTGCATTTCCAGGCTGCGGACAGCCTCGTTGAACTTTCCGCGGTGGTCAGTGCTCTGCCTGGGCTGTGAGCTATGATGTCACGTCCTGTTTCCAGTGAGGACAGTGGGGCTGTCGGCAGGGAACCGCGGCTTCCCGTGATCTGCTTGCAGAAGTCTTTCCTGCTCGGCTTTGTAGGACAGACGTAACCAGAAGTCACTTAATGTCGTTTGCTACAAAGGAGGAGGAGGGAGGTTGGGGAAGTTGAAGGGGAAAGGGTGTATCCGCTGCTCCGCCTAACAGACGACCTCCCAAGTGTTACAACAATTATTTCTTTTTATTGCTCACAAGTCTGTGGGTCAGTGGGGGCTCAGCTGATCGTGGCTGGGCGCCCGCCTGGGTCTGCAGATGGACTCAGTGGCTCTGCTCCAAGCTGAGTTGAGCTGGGGCCGCTCTGTCTTCTATCCCCTGCCGGGACCGGGAGCCCACCCAGGGCAGCGGCAGAGGCACAGCAGAGCCGGTGGGAAGGTCCCAGGCTGCTTCTGGCCTAGGCTCGGGGACGGCGTTCCATCTCTTCCGCCTCATCCGATTGGCCAAACGAGTCACAGGCTCCGATGAGTAACGGGTGGCAAGCGGGACTCCACCTCTTTAGTGGGAAGAATTGCAGCGTCACAGGGTGAGCGTGAAGCTTGGGAGGAGGAGCCCACACTTCCCGCCACGGACAGCCTCGCCCGCCATAGCTGGGGAGGAGACGACGGGTGCTGCTGTATACTTGGTGTTTCCCATGGGCTGTCGTTACCAAACTAAGCATTCGGTGTACATGATCGTATTTGTCCCTTATAGGAACCCAATACGAGAGTCACTATTACCCCACTTTATAGGTGAGCAAAGTGCGGCTGAGAAAGGTTAAGTAACTTGCCCGGGTGGATGACAGGGGAGCCAGGGTTCCATTTCAATTGAGGTTTGCCTGACGCCCAAAGCCAGACTCCCTGCCGCCCGCCTTTCAGCCTTTGTAGCCCTGCCGCCCCGCCCTCACCCCTGTTCTGGGCCTCCCCCCCTCACTTTGTGGATGGGCGGATGGACAAATGGGTGGGTGGGTGGACAGATGGCAGGTGGGCAGGTGGGCGGGTAGACAAGTGGAGTCAGGGTCTCCAGCGGCCTTAGCGTCTTTCTGATGTGTCCCCCTCGTGTCACCACGCCAGCCTGCGCCTGGGGAGATTTCCTCTCCTCTGGAGCTCTTCGTGAGCCACGTCTCACCAGCTGGGTTGCAGGAGTGCCACCTGAAGGAGCCCAGAAGGAGAACCTGGTCCTGGGAAGGCAGACGGCATGGCCAGGGTCCCTCGGGGAGAGCAGCCTGGAGGCCGGAGCAGGGTCCCCGTCCTCTCTGCCAGCCGTGCGTGGCCCCCACACCCAGAAGATAGGGCAGGAGGTGGGCCCCAGAGCGTAGGGGCGGGGAGCGGGTGGTGGCGGTCCCCGCTTCCTGTCCCGCTCCTTCCCTGTCTGCACTAACCTGGTCCTCACTGGCAGCAGCTGTCTGGGTTGTGACCCCTCCGAGCCCTCCCAGGCTTAACACCTGCTGCTTCCAGGGAGGCCAGGCCACGACGAGGGACAGTGGAGGCCTCAGAGTCATGCAGCCACCTCTCTTGACCGGGGGATGTCTTGGGCAGATTCTGGGTGTTTGCCTGGTGGTGGATGGGGTGCCACTGTGCTCCAGAGGGGCAGGGGAGCAGCTGTGGGTGCCCCGCCTGTACTGTGGTGTGTGCCACCGCTCCCCATGCCACCGGCGCTGTGTGCTGCATGTGCACCCCTGTCCGGCGCTAACCAGAGGAGGCTGCGCCTGGGTTCTAGCCCCTGCTCCCTGCGTGCCAGGCGGCCAGCGGGGGGAACGGGGGAGCCGGCCGGGGGGCGGGGGCGCCGCTTTCCTGTATTACGTCTCCTCTCTTTCTCTTCTCACTGCAGGAGAGCTGATGAGCAGGGGTCTGGACTGAGGCCTTGGGTGGCTGATGGCTGTGGCTTTCCTGCCACTGCTGGTGGAAGCCCCCCGGGGCTCGTCTCCCAGCCCCGAGTGTGGGACACACACCGCGGTATCATTACACTGATTATTGCTTCTTCCCAGACATATTGATTGGGCTCCTGTCGCTGAGTCTGGTCAATCGAAGGACTGCGGCCGGTCGGTGGCCTTAGGGACCTGAGATCGGCCTGACTCAAGGTCTATTGTCAGTCCAGGAGCTGGGTGTCTTTTTTAATTAAAAAATTCAGAATAATTTATGTACTGTGAGATGTACAGGTCTTGGTACAGTCCAAGGAGCTTTGACAAATGTGTACACTGGTACAACAATCACCTAACCATCACCTAAATTGAGATACAGAGCCTCCCATTTTTCCAGAAAGTTCCTGGTTTCGGCACTGAAGCACCTGGGTGGGGTGACGCGGTGTAGGCAGGTGAACCCAGGACTTAAGCTTCTACCTGAGCTCTCATGATGACGTCGACTATCGCAGGCTTGTGAGAGCCCAGCGCCGTGAGCCCACTGCCTGCCAGGAGAGGAGCCTCCTGCCTTCACGCAGGCCAGACTCAGGTCGCCAGGAGAAGGCCATGACCTTCCCCGTGGCGGGGGCTGTCCTGGAGAGCTCCCAGACCCGGGGGGGGGGGGAGGCAGATAGGCCTCCAGGTTCACGTGACAATCTGTGGGCACCAGGGACCGTACATGAGAGACTCAGAGGTGGGCATCACTGTGCCCCAGCTTGTCAAGAAAAGGGACCGACGCCCTGCCCTGGGTGGGGTTACATGTCCTGCCAGGAACCCCCCCCCACCCCGTTCGCTGCTTCTGCCTTACACCCCTCTTGCTGCAGCCTGTCCCAGTGTGCCTCGGGTGCTCAGGGGAGATGGGGACAGCTGAGGAGGTGCCCACACAGGACCAGGGCAGCGTTCTCCCGGTGGCTAGAATTCTCCCCAGGCAGGGCCCTCCAGGGAATTCTCTCAGGATATTTGTGCAAAGCAAATGTTACAGTGGCTGGCAATATATATAAAATCTGTAAAACATGTAACTGTTTCTGAGTTATTTCAGGCTGGAGCTGTGGGCGGGTGGGCTCTGTCCCTAGAAGGGGCGCACTAAAAAAACCCTCCAGGACTCACAGCCGGGCTGTGGGCAGCCTGGACCCCTGGGTGTGCATTAGAGATAGAGGTCTCGGCCAGTTCGGACCCCAGGTCCAACAGAGGACCTTGGGGGAGGCGTCATTCCTGCTCCTGCAACTGCCAAGCCAAGGGGTGCGTCTCCACCCAGGCCCGCTGGCTTTTATGACCCAGAGGTGACAGCCCCCCTCTGATCTCCCAGGGGCCCCACCCATCACCAGCCAGGGCTGTATCCTGAAAAGCCAGTCCTGGTGCCGGCCCACGGCCCACGGCCCACGGCCCACGGCCCACGCAGGCACTGAGTGATGTAGGGAGAGGGAACGCTAGGTGCCTCTATTCTCACCCTCTCCAGCTCTCTCCACTTTCCAAAAATTAGAATCCTGCTAAGGTCAGTTCCCTCCATTTGTGACGAAAAGCCAGTCTCAGAGAAAACGTTTATGTTCAACATAAAAATCCTATAACCAAATGCAGTGTTTGGCCGTGTGCACACACCTGTGGGGAAGAGATACGTGGGAACAGCTTCTGATCTCGGCTGCTTTGCTATCAGCCAGGCCCAGGCTGCTTGTACCGGCCCTGAGTGCCTTCCATTCAGCCCCCTCTCCTGCCCACCCCCCACCCCCCAACTCCCTGCACTTGGACCCCACACTCTCATTCCTGCCTGGACCCCCTGCACCCCTCCCCGCCTTTCTACGCCCTGCCATCCTGCCCCGCCCCGTGCCTAGTTTCCGGTGTCCCTCTCTCATCTCCCTGCAACGTGTCCCCTTTGCCCCCTCCCACCTCTCTGCCCCCCAACACTGTCCCTGCCTTCTGTACCCCTACTCCCACCTCCCTGCCCGCATCCGTCTCCTCTGCTTTCCTGCCCTCTCTTCGCCGTCACTCTCCCTGCATCTCCACCCCGATGCCCCTTCCTCACCTCGCTGCACCCCTCCCTCCGTCCCTTCTACTCTGACACAGGTACCCCTCTCTGAAGCCCTGGAATCCCCATGGCCTCTCTCTGTCCCACCCCGATTCTCTGTGCCTGCTCCCCAGTGGTGTTGGTGGCCCCCCGTCTGGCGAGGCTTCATCGAGGCCTCCTGCTTTGGCCATGGGGTCCCCCTGCCTGAGCCCCTCCTGAGTACCTGCTTCATTCTTTCTGCTCCTCCAGGCCTCTGCTCAGCTGTTGTTCCTTCAGAAAGCAGGTCACACCACCCCAGCCCACGCCTGCCCTTCCCGTGTCCACAGCGCTCTGTGTGTCCTGTCAGAGTGTCTCGTAATTACCTGTTCAAAGCATGGCAGTGTGTGCCTGTGCCTCCGCCCAGGCCCGAGTGCTTTACAGGTGAGGACCACAAGGTGGTGTCATCCCACCTGTGTGCTGGGGGTGGTCCCCCTCATGGCTGAGCTCCTGAGGAAGGAGAGGCTATGCACCTTGTCCTGGGCCTCTCAGGCAGCGGGGGCAAGGTGGGGGGGGTCACTTGGCCTCACCCCTGAGACCTCCGTCAGCCTGCTGGCTTCCCCACTGGACTCTGAACCTAGCATGGTGTGGCACAGGCTCTCCAGGCTTGTTGACTCCCTGAGAAAGCATGGTGGCCGCTTGGCTTCCTCCAGACCCTTCCCCATGTTTAGACGGTGGGACGAGCCCCTGAGTCGCCTTTGGAGTCTTGTCTCTTTGCTCACCCCCTCCCCCATCCTGCTGTGCTCTGCTTCACGGCCAAGGGGCCCTGCTGTCCGGGCCGGCTTGTCCACCAGGTGACCTGGGCCACCAGGTGAGACTCAGTCATCCGTTCATCCAGCAGCGACCTGAGAACCTAGCACATGTCATGCGCTGGCTTTACAGTGGTGAACAAAACGTATTTCCCAGCGCTCACGGACCGTGGCCGAGCGAGGAAACAAATTCAAATATAATTACAATTTGCAGCAAGCGCCATGAAGGAGAACGGGCAGCCCCGGCAGAAAGTGATGGGGGGACTCGGGTGGGGACCACGTGAGCTTGGGGGAAGGCCTGTCATCAGAAGCAGCGAGTGTTAGGGCCGGCTGAGTGGCTCAGTTGGTTAAGAGCTCGCTCAAGAGTTTGAGCTCTGAGCAACAGCGGTTCGAGTCAGCCCGAGCTGAGCAGCCGTGAGCTGCCAACAGGTGGCGGGATGGCTCAGCTAAAAAAAAAAAAAAAAAAAAAGAAGCAGCGAGTGAGAAGGGCTCACCTGGATGGGCGGGGCAGGGGACAACTGGGTCCCTTAGAGGCCCAGTCCTGCTGACCCTCATTCTGGAAACGCTCTTCCGTGGGCTGTTGTGGTGGCTCAGTCTTGTCTTCCTTCTCTGTGGGGCCCCCTTGGTCCTCTTCCCAGGCGTCTCTCTCACCCACTGGCACCTGCTGTGTCCCAGGTGTGACCCTCATCACCCGCTCTTGTCTCAGCCCCCCCTCTCCTCGCGGGGTTCTGATCCATGCCTGCGGCTTCAGCCACCATGTATATTTATATTGTTTTGTAATCCCTGCATTAATTATCT